CCTTGAAAATGGCTGGAAGGAGGGACGAAAGGGAGGAGAAGCAATGTAAAGAGGAGGTGAGAGGGGCCGTCTTAGGGTAGCCGTCATTGCTGAATGAGTCTCTGGGTGGAAGATATTTGATGATGGCTCAGAAACAAACAGAAAGAAAATGCTGAGATCTCTGTCCAGAGCACGGGTCCAGAGCCTTTGACTTACCATCTCCTTCTTGCTTCCTAGAAGTAATTTTATTCGAAGAGGAATAAGCAGAAAAAAACAAAGGAAGAGAAAAAGGAAAGGAAGGAAGAGGACAGAAACAAGATGAAACCCTGTCAAAAAATTGAAGGAAAACCAGAAAATGAGAGTGAACCGAAGCTTGAGGAAGAGCCAAAGTCTGAGGAAAAGCCAGAGGAGGAGGAAGAGCCAGAGGAGGAGGAAAAAACAGAAGGAACTTTTAGAGAAAGGCTGATTCAGTCTCTCCAGGAATTTAAAGAAGATATACACAACAGGCATTTAAGCAAGGATGATATGTTTAGAGAAGTGAATGAATTAGATGAGATAAGGAGAGTAAGAAACAAACTTATAGTGATGCGTTGGAAGGTTAATCGAAACCATCCTTACCCTTATTTAATGTAGCTTACCTTGATTTTTATTTTTTCTGATATTAACATTGCCATATAGCTTTCTTGTGATTTACATTTTCCTGATAAACCTTTGTCCATTTTTCTACTTTTAAGTTGTTGCTATTAGTAGTTTTAGATGAATCTCTTGTTTCTGCATCTCATTGTTTATCATATTTTGAACCAATCTCCAAGTTTCTGCATTTTAATAAGAGAGAGAGCTTGACTCGTTTATACAAAAGGGTTTTCTGACAGGATACAAAATGAAAAAATGTTAGTAAGGAATATGTGAATATCATATTTTTAAAAGGGAAGCATACATTTGTATATACATATATACACAGAAAAAACATGTGAGGGATGAAAGACAAAAAGATCACTAAGTGGTAGGATTATGAGTGATTTTTAAAGTTCTGCTTATTTGTATTTTCCCTTATTCCTAGAATATCCATGTATTGTTAAAATAATAAAAGTTTAAAAAAACAATAAAAATTTTATAACAAAAAAAGAGGTCACCAACAGCACTTATCAGTTTATTTCTAAATGCATTGGGACACTTGATATTTGTTGACAGAATTTTAGAAGCAAATGTAGATGAACTCCAAATTACCACCAGAGTTTTATATCTTTTCTTATCTATAAAATAGAGATAATAATGATCTCTAAGGGATCTTGTGAAGACCAGATAACGTAATGACTGAGATATATCTGACAATTATTTTTTCCCCATCTGTCCATGCAGGATCCCAACTCCCAAGAGATTTGTTTTAGCGGTTTGGGAGGGTAGAGAAAGTAGTTTTCACCTGCGCTTAAGAACAAATCCAGGCCAACTGTTAGGTGGACACCACTTTATCTTCCTCTCCTGCTATACCTGCCCAAATGCCCACCCGCCACCTTGATACTACCATATACATTGGATATTCCTGCCCCTTCATCCAGGTTCTGTACCTTTCAGGCCCCTACTGCTGCTGATATTTTGGAATTCTCAAATAGTGAAGCCCAACACATTTCTTCAGAACCCCCAGTAGGCTGAATTCCCAGACTGACCTCTACAGAAATGGGGAGAATGCCCTTCTCAATTTAGACATGCAGGGCCATTTGGGCCATGATATAGATATCCTGGCAAATGGGGTTTTAATCACAGGCCCCCTCTTCCCCATAAGACTCTGACATGATGGGTCTGTTTGAGGGTTGGACCAGAAGATAAGTCTGAATAACAGATGTTGCATGTTAGTCAGAGCTTCTCTGAGTCTAACAATTCTGGTTTTGTCTTCTGGACTCTTATTTCCTTAATGTGAGTGAGCTCTTCCAGGAGATTGGTGGCAGGCCCGCTTCACCAGTTCAACAGATACCCTTTCGCATGTATAAAGTGTAAAGAGATGTTCAAGTCAGATTTGGGGATATTCCCATCCTTACCTGGAAACATGAAAGTGCTATATAAGAAGGTGTATCTATGCAGCTAAATCTGCATATGTATATATGTGTCTACGGCTCACAGTTGTGCCAGTTTTATTTTATCTTTCCTCTGTGATGCTTTCTTTGGGGGAGGGAGGCATTCATGTCTCCAGACTGTTCCATAAGCTTGCAACAGCCTGATGGATGCTGGTTGGGCTGGATTCCAGATGACGATCCAGGGGCTCACTGTGGCAGTTTTACAGACAGGATGAATCCATCCCCCTGGTGCTCTGAGGATGTAGAACTCACCCCAACCACACTCATCTCCAGGTTGTCTGGCTTTGGCTTCTCTGCTCCAACCTGCGGCAGGCACCAGACCCTCCTAGGCTGATGGCCAGGCAGTCCTGGACATACTTAGCTGGAGCATGACTGTCCCCATTGCAGGTCAGAGCACTAGACTTCCTCCCCCCCTTTTTTTTTCTTCACGGAGAGCTTGTGAGAACTTTTTATAGGGAAGGAGATAAGACCTCAATATTCATTAACTAAAAACTTTGGTTGTGATAGTCTGTCCAATTCTGATATAATCAGCTAACTTGGGGTTAAAGTAGAGGACCTGGTGGTAGTTGGAGATGATTTTAGATAATATACAAATACTAGAGGCCCGGTGCACAAAAATTTGTGCACTGTCGGGGAAGGAGTGTCCCTCAGCCCCACTTGTGCCCTCTCATAGTCTGGGACCCCTTGGGAGATAACGACCTGCTGGCTTAGGCCTGCTCCTGGGTGGCAGAGGGCAGGCCCAATCCCTAGGTGCAGCCCCTGGTCGGGCTCAGAGCAGGGCTGATTGGGGAGTTGTGGCACCAACCCCTGTCATGCACAGAGCAGGCGGGATCGGGAGGTTGCGGTGCCACCCCAAGTCACACTCAGGGTAGGGCCGGTTGGGGGGTTGGGGCACCACCCCCTGTCACACTCAAGGCAGGGTCGATGGGGAGGTTGGGGTGCTGCCCCCTGTCACACACAGAGCAGGGCCAATCAGGGGGTTGGGGAGCTCCCCCCTATCAGGCACAAGCAGGGCTGATCAGGGGGTTGGGGCACCTTCCCCTTTCACGAACAGAGCAGGGTGTATAGGGAGGTTGTGGCCCCGCCCCCTGTCACACACAGAGCCGCAGGGCAATCAGGGGGTTTGGGCGCTGCCCCCTGTCACACTGCTCCAGGGGCCAGGAGGCCTCGTGGCTCCGCTGATCCCCTTGCTGGGAGGCCTCGCGGCTCCGCTTGACACCGGGGCAGTGAGGCCTCGCTGCTCAGCTGATCCCAGTGCTGGGAGGCCTCGCAGCTCTGCTGATCCTGGTGCTGGGAGGCATATTAGCCTTTTACTATATAGGATAGAGGCCTGGTGCACAGTGGGGGCTGGCTGGTTTGCCCTGAAGGGTGTCCCGGATCAGGGTGGGGGTCCCACTTGGGTGCCTGGCCAGCCTGGATGAGGGGATGATGGCGGTTTGCAGCTGGTCACACCCCCTTCAGGGTGGGGGTCCCCACTGGGGTTCCTGGCCAGCCTGGATGAGGGGATGATGGCTGTTTTCAGTCTGGCGGGCAACTGAATCTCCTAACCTCTCCTTTTTTTCTTTTTTTTTATTCTGGGACTTATTTACCTTCTATGGCTGTCACTGGAACTGAGAGCCGGCTTTACCTCTGAGACCTCGGCTGCTCATCTGGGTTTGTTTGGATTCTATAATTGAAACACTGTTTCAGCTCCACTTTTGAAGCCGGCCGGCTGAAAGCAGGTTTCTGGGGTTTGTTTCGGTTCTATAATTGCAACATTGTTTCTTAGACTGCAAGCTCAGAGGCCAACAGTGGCAGGCGGGGGCCGGCTGGCTGAAAGCATGGGGTTTGTTTAGGTTCTATAATTGCAACATTGTTTCTTAGACTGCAAGCTCAGAGGCCAACAGGGGCAGGTGGGGAACCTGGGCTTCCTCCGTCACTGGAGCAAGCAAGCCTCCTGTTAGTTTCAGCTGCCTGGCTGCCGGCCGCCATCTTGGTTGGCAGTTAATTTGCATATCTTGCTGATTAGCCAATGGGAAGGGTAGCGAAGTTATGGTTAATTACCATGTTTCTCTTTTATTAGATAGGATTTTAAATTGTAATATCCTTGTATTATTTGAATGTGTATTAATAAACACTGTCTAAGGCAAATGATGATAGTAGTTTAAGATATAGTCTGGTATTGTAAATTTTCCCTTTTCAAAAAAGTATTCAAATTAAATGAGTCAATTTGAAGACAATAATGAAGTAGAACACAATATTAATAGCATATGGTATATAACGATATGGTAAAAATCATCCTGGTGGGAAACATTGCCTTAGCATAATTGACTTAGGGAAAATATCTGGAAATACCTGTCAAGAACTGTGCAATTTAAGATTTCACCCTACTTAAAAGTTAATAGGTTAACCTGCTAGTGGTTAATGGATACTGTCAGAAGATACTAGAATCCTGGGTCAGAGACAACGCACATTATTACAGCAAAAGTAGTAGCCAGAGTTTCCTACTGGTTTGTATCAGTTATCCATGATCCACAAGTCCCATGGGATGGCACAGGACTCATGATGGATGCCTCTACATTCAGTGCATTGTATTGCAGGGAAGAAACCCTGAATTTGGAGAAGTCACAGCTTTCTTAGTACGCAGAAGGAAGCCTGCTTCCTGCCCAGCAAAAGACATTGCTTGTTGCAAACACAACTCTGAGAAATGGCTTGCCTGTGAAGAGTGATCAGGCCTTACCTCTTGGTACACCCAATTAGAATGTGCAGGGATGCTCAGGACCCAAGGCAGATTGCCTCTCCCAATAATGGTTTTCTCTGTGCAATAAATCTTAATGTGAATGGCAAGCCTTTCCTAACATCACAAGTTTTGATTTCTAATTCCAAGTTAAATAAAGCAAGTAATTCATTATACTGTAGAGTGCAGATAGGGCATTTGTGACTCTTCCTAGGTTTTAATTAAATACATAGGCTTTTGAATGAATCCTAAATAACTGAATGAGGATGAAAATATCAAGTAAGAAACTAAAAGTAAATAGAGGCCCAGTGCATAAAATTCATGCACAGGAGTGGGGGGTCCCCTCAGCCTGCACCCTCTTCAATCCGGGACCCCTTGGGGGATGTCTTGCCCCTCACAGCCCCCCCTGCCAGCCTGGTTGCCCCACTCAGCCTGCTTGTTCAGTTGTATGGTTGTCCCTCACTAACCCCCTGCAGGCCTGGTCATAGGCAGCCATCTTATGAGGGTGTGGCAGCCAATTTGCATATTACCTCTTTATTATATAGGATAATGCTGCAATGAACATAGGGCTGCATATATGCTTTCAATTAGTATTTCAGGTTTCTTCCAGAAGTGGAATCGCTGGGTCATAAGGCAGTTCCATTCTTAATTTTTTGAGGAATCTCCATAATTTTCCACAGCGACTTCACCTATCTGCATTCCCACCAACAGTGCACAAGGGTTCCTTTTTCTCCACACCCTTGTCAACACTTGTTTGTTAAATTATTGATGATAGCCATTCTGACAGGTGTGACGGCTTTTTTTTAAAACAGCTTTCTTAAGATTTAATTAACATACCATATAATTCACCCACTGAAAGTATACAATGGTTTTTAGTATATTCACAGTTATGTGCAATTTGTTACTACAGTCAATTATAAAACATTTTTGAGTCAAAAAGAAACACCATACCTTTAGCTATGACTCTTCCCCCATGTCTCTATTGCTTCAGCCCTAAGCAAATACTAATCTACTTTGTCTATAAATTTCCCAATTGTGGATATTTCCTAAAAATGTGTTCATATGAAATGTGTTCTTTTGTGATTGGCTTCTTTCACTTAGCATGTTTTCAAGATTAATTCGTTATGTAGCATGTACTTCTTTTTATGGCTGTACAATATTCTATTGCATGTTTATGCCACATTTTGTTTATCTGTTAATCCATTTATGGATATTTGAGCTTTCCTCATCTTTTGCTTATTATGAATAGTGGTGCTAGGAACATTCATGTTCAACTTTTATGAGGACAAATGTTCTTTGTTTCTTTTTTCTTTTCCTTTTTTTTTTTACTTTTGGGGGTTAGGGG